GCGCCGTGAGGGCTTGGGCTTGGTCTTGGTATTCGTCGAATCTAGCATCGCACTTATTATAGAGCTTCAAGGATAGATGAGATAGATTTTCTGGTTGCAGGTATGGCCATTCCCTATGTATGTACTAACTCACGACTCGAATCGACTGTTCAGAGCTCTTGTTCGATTGCTACGTCACATTTAGCAGATAGAGAGATATATCACATCCAAAAAGAAAAGCAAAAACACTAATCCCCGAAAATCAAGAAGCGCCTTCTGAATAGCAGTGAATCGCAACCCAAAGTGAGGGGGAAGTCCCCTAGACTTCATAGAACATACAGCAGCAACAACAACAACACCCTGCTGAGTACGCCGACATCAACCCGAAACACAAAACAAGATCGAAAGACAGAATACGCCTCAGGACAATCGTGCATAGCATGCACAAAAGCAAGCGAAAACACACCAAAGCAAATTCAAACTAGCTCCACGATTTGATCCATCGGTCCCGCCAGTTTCTCTCTCTAAGATAGATGGTATCTTTTTTTCTTCTTTCTGGACCTGCCATTGCACAAACATCTCACCCACGCCCGGAATCGACTGTTCTCGCTGCCAGAACAGCCTAAAAGATTATGGGATGCTCACACAGTACCTGAGCACAAGTCGGATTCACTTACACCAACCCCAGAAATGCCAAGACTTGGTCATTCGGCGCGAGCCGAACAGAGCAAGCTTATATAACTGGTAAACCTAGTAGCTATCACACCGGGTACGTAGACAGGATATATCTACTTCCGCAGGATAGCTTCATATAGGGTCGTAAGCACACCGATCGCAGAACCGGTGATGACTCCGGGCCAGCGGCCCGGAATAGCATTGTTGATGTCCTCGACGGCGATATCGTTGAAGAAGCCCCAGTAAGAGAACTTGCCGGTGTAAACCAGATACGCGATGAGCGCCTTGGCAATGTGGAAGCTCAGAGGATCGAAGCTGGCGAGCTGCGCGGCCGCTGCCGCCCGTTGACGCCGAGTGTTGGCCGCCGGACCACCGCTCTGAGCCGCCTGCAAGCTGATGTTGAAGAAATACGCGACGGTTAAGGGGATGACGAGACTAGTGAAGAGCCACCCAAGGAAAGCAGTCCAGAAGGAGCTCTCGACCAAGACGAAGGCGTCAGGAGCCGAGATATCGAAAGCCGGTGAATGGACCGCTTCTACAGCGGGGATGCGGGTCAACAGTCTCAGAGGAAAAAGTAACCGCAAGACACCAAAGCTTTCAATCCCATACAACAAGACAGCGATGGCCTTGACGCTGCTCAGGTTGGCGCGCAGCGAATCTGACTGCTCCTGCACTCCCGACGCGTTCCAAATGTCCTTGAGACTTTTGCCCCATGCCGCCGTTTGGCGATCGATCACATCGGTCACCACAGCGGGGGACGGCGGGAGCGCCGCCGCCAGTGGTGACAATGGGGGTTCAACACTCACCAGCGTTTGGCCGGGAGTTTGGGGAACATCGGAGTCATCCCTGTCGTGAGGATCGCAAATCAGCCCGGGTCCGCGATGACGTAAACATCGAGTATCGCACGCGCAAACGAGATCCATGCAAAGCCGAAATCGCAGGTTTCGGACGAATACGACAAACAAAGCAAGGGGGAACTTACGTTTGCACAGACTCCACCTTGGATCTGGAGCTCCTCTTGCGCGTTGACTTGGGGGCTTCGTCTGCCGACGGAGTGCCTTCCACCTTAGGTGCTCTCTTGGTCGGCGATGTCTTGACAGGCGAATTCTTGGCAGGTGAGAAAATGCGCGGAGATCCTGACAGACGCCTGTAGTAATCACCGAGGCGCGCATCATCGATGAAGATGGATTGGTGAGCTTGAAGGTGCGAGTCAAGCGCCGCGGCGAGCTCGGGCTTGGTCAGATCCTCATAGCTATAGATGGTCAGGTCCCCGAGCCAACTGGCCGGGCGGAAGCGAAGAGGAGATTCAGCGAGGCGAAACGGAAGCTTACTTCTGAAGGTCAGTGATATGAGCCCATTCCGTGAGGGTGGGCTTGCGCTGCTTCTGCAGAAAAGGCAATCCGGCGGGCATGACGACGCGCGCAAGTTGCGGTGGATCATGCGACAATTGATACGGAGCAAGGGAGAGGTTGTTCTAGGACGAGGTTGACTCCTCTAAGAAGTAGAAGTCGCGTGGGAATGAGGAATACTATCCAAGCAGGTTCGACAGCGCGATGCGTTGGAAGATGGAAGAAAGAAGAGGGACGTGGAGTGGTGGAGGGAAAGAAGAGGAACGAAGAACAAGGAGCCTGGAGTCTGGAAAGTAAACAGACAACCGGGGGGGGGGCGGGTCTGGAGCCAATCTGGTGGGGCTGACCGCATTCGGGTCTGGGGAGGCTTTGTTTACAGTTTACGGAGTACAATTTACAAGCAATACTGATGGGGGGATCGCCCACGCTTTCCACGCTTTGCCATTCTTCCCCTCATCTCCCTCTTTCTCCCACCCCTCCAATGTAAACAAATTGCCTGAATCATAACTCATAACTATTAAGTTACTAACAATCAACAATCGAAGTAAAATTATCGAACCATGTCTATTCTCTAGTAATCTATGTAGTTAGTTCGTTCTTGATCTTTTTATACACACAACATGACCGGAGACAGTAAAATCCCATGTCCTCTCATGCAATCAATTATGCCATCAGAAATCAAAAGGGACAAACACAAGAGGGCGGCGACCGTAGGGAAATGGAGGGAGATGCTCTATGATAATAAAACAACAAGATAAGAAAAGGGGTGGTAAAAAGAACACACAAGAAAAAGAGAAGAAGAAAAAAAAAAAAGAAATCGGTCATGCCACACCCCTACCGGAACGCCCTCCCCAATAAAACCCGTCTAGGTTGCATCATCATGCTCCGGTTTTCTTCCATCCTTCTATCTACAATGGACATCAACATGCCCAACCCTCATCCCGCATCTAGAGGGGGTTGAGCTCCCCTTTGTTCTCCCAGTCCTCGAACTTTTTCAGGAGATATTGATACATCACCAACATCGTTCCACTTTGAATGCTGGTCCACACACCACGAGGTCCAACACCGCGGAACCAGCCTGCCAGCCCTTCCGTTTGGTAGATCATCTTCAAGCCAGTGAAGAACGATGACGTATCCAAGCGAGGAGCTCCAGGCGGGTTCACCGACGTGGAGGCTCCCGAAGTGGAGATTGGGCGCGCATGCGTGCGCAGGCTCGACGTCGTCTGCGAAGCCGCGTGGTGGCGCGGTCCCTCTTTGGTCGATGGGTGCTCCGCCGCCGAGTGCGAGGAGGAGCCCGGAGGGCGACTCGAGGGCGTGGTCTCGGGGTTCTGCTGGGTCTGGATACGTGTCTTGACCACGTCCATCGGGCATGTCAACACACCCGCCATCCCACCCGCAGTAACAGCCGTCAGGATCTCCAGGCCTAGCCCAATATCTCGAGAGCCCACCCATTCTTTGGCCATCCGTTGCTCTTGCTCGTAAAAAGCGAACTGGAGGGCGGAAAAGGGAAGATCGCGGTAGATCGTCGCCCGGTATCCGTAGTAAAGCGCGGAAAATCCTTCCTGGCGAATGATGGTGCGCAGCGCATCCCTGGTCGAGCGGTAATTATATCCCGAATTGAAATGGGGGTTGTTGTAGCGTCCTTGGAGCTGTAGGCGAGTCTTCAAGACCTCCGAGGGAACATAGACGATAGAGGCGGCCAAGTCCGCGAAGAAGCCTACAAGCCCATTTCCGATTAGCACCGAAATGCGACCGCAAATGACGAAGCCGCCAAACTACACTTACCTCCAGAAAGATACGCCACATTCGCATTGATTCCCGCATCTAGCATGAGACGTTTTGTGTACTCGTAGGTTCCAAAGAAGATAACGGTGCCGGGGAAGGAGCCGAAAAGCGCAGGAGTCACTCCGCCGTACAGGCCGCGGAAAAGGCCTTCTTGTCGGTAGATGGTCGCATAGGACGAAGTCATGGAGGTGTACTTAGGAGGAAAATGCGGATCGCCCTGTTGCCGCGTCTTGACGGTGTCTAACGAGTGCATGAGCATGTCACCGCAGGTGCCACCAATACCTCCAGCGAACATTGCCTGTAGGTCGGATTGGAGGATTAGCCCAACACCCGTGAATGGCGATAGGATGTGCACCATGAAATGCGCGCGCGGTATAACAGTAAAGATGGCGAAGACAAGCTACATACATGTAGGTACGGTGGACGAGGCTCCTCTTCCTCGTCATGGTGAGACTGTGCATTCTGTACATGATGTTCCTTGTTTGCGCTTATCGGCGTCGTCTGACGGAGATCGGTCGGGCCATTTTGAATAAGGGACTTCGACGCGGGGGAGTCTGACGAAGGTGTCTCTGTCGTCGCAAAGAAGCCCAAGACACGCGAAGTCAAGCTCATTGCAAGAAGACCGCAACCCACCGGATCGTGGTGCGGGCCAGACCACGGGGGTTGGGATGCGGCGACGGTGGATTAACAGGAGCACGCCACCTCGAACCACGAGGGGACGGCGGATTAGGAGGAAGATATATAGGAGCGAAGATACAATAGAATGCGAGAATAATCAACCCTGGGGAAAGGGGACTAATAAGCAGGGGACATCGCAGCTTGAAAGTGACGAAAGCCCGACTGCCCGAAACCCCAAAATTTCGTCGGCCTATCGTCGGTTTGTAGTTTTCTCCGCTGTCCGGAGGCCGTGTCGCCGCCTCAGGCAACAAACATTTCTGTTATCAATCATGTTCTTGGTTGACAAATAGACTATAGGCATTTATCTCTAGATCGCGATCAAGTAGATACTTATCTACAGTAAGTAGTAGTAGGTACTATGCGGCTGACACTCTTTCTGTCACTGTGAAAGTTAAGCCAATCACAACCATAGAGCTTCTGGGCAAACAATCTCCGCGCTGCTCATAGACAGTAAGTCGAAGAATTGTATTGGAAAAGAGGCAAAAGCTAATCGCATCAATCGCATCAATCACGCCACTTTCGCATTGCAGAAAAAAAAAGTATATAAGGAATAGGACGCGTTCCACTCAAGCAAAAGCACTAGACATGACGCATAAAAACCTCACCCGCTCGCTGTCTTGCGACAAGGTCCAAAGCCATCCGTGCTTCTGCCCATAAAGAGGCTACATATCCTTCCTTTTCTCCACCCTTCAATACCTCCAATACCATCCACAGTCTCCAAATCTCAAAAGCGACCATCAACCCCGGAACGCATTCAAAGAAAATGGTCATTGGCTCATTCAATCTTCATCAGACGCAATAGTCGACAATCGGAGCAGACAGTCCCTCTTAGGCGCAGATTGGCCGCAGGGTTCAATTTTATCACATCTATCCAGCTTCCGCGAGTCGTCTCTATTTAAAGCGGATGGGCAATTTATTGGGGCTTCTTAGCGGTCGCTCCGCTCAAGCGGCCGAGATCGGTGGCCTCGTAGGCTTGGCGCACAACAGCCTTAAAAGACTCCCATCCCTGGCGAACGGCGGGTGGGGTGCTCTGGTGGGAAACCGAGGCGTCTACTCGAGCAGTGAAGTGGCGGACGGAGCTCTGGACAAAGGAGCTCTGGGAGTATCTCGCACGGAAGAAAGCCAAGTAGATAGCGAAAAGGACAATGCTGCCCTTCGAGAAAGTGAGAACGGCGACGGCCAGGCGGAACAACAACGCCATCTCGAGGTGCGCCACAAGATCCATGCTGGCATCGTAGTACTGTTTCACGAAGCGGCCAATAGATTCCGCCAAGGGAGATTGTCTAACTGCAGGCCTGGGCGAGCCGGGAGAGGAGGGAGATCCCGGAGCGCCAGCGGCCTGAGGGCCCTGGAGGGTAGGGATCAGGTGAGCACGAGTGTAGGTCGCAACGTGGAAGATGGAATAAACGCTGAAGGGAAGCAGAGCGAGCGACACCTGGCGCGAGTAGAGCCACACCAGCGCAGTGCCTGTGGACGTTGTCAGCTTTTGAATCTGTCATCTCCTCGTGTCGAATTCGCCCCAATCTCAATTGCACATCTCAAGGGGGAGAAGTAGACCCACCAAGGTACTGGACATTCTCATCACCAGCAAGCTTGATCGCAATGTTAGGGAGCCCGCCCTGGAGCCGGCCGCGAGCGATATGGCCCTTGTACACAACAATTCCGTATGTCGCAGCAGCCGACAAGAATGCCAGGCGGTAAGAGACTTGGGCCGAGTTGGAGTAATAGTTGAATGTGATGTAAGACACGAAATAGCGTAGGACAGAGAGTAACAATGTCACATGTCTATCATCTGATCAGTTATTGCGATTCAAACAGTCAAGCTGGCAACATGGTCAGGCACTGCGAAGCGAAATTGTTTCATCCACTTCAATTGCAGCCGATATTGTGCTGTAAGGGTCGCGCAGACGGAAAATAACGTACCCAACAAACCAGGCGAATCTGGATGCGAAAGACCTTGTTAGCACTGTGACGCAGTCGAGTTGTGGAGGAAGCAAACAAACACTTACTGCAACGTCTGAGCAAGAGCCTTGAGCCTCTCAGGCAAAGGCAAATTTGAAGGGGGTGGAGGAGCCATGGGGGATGAAATAGATTATGCGTGGTAGTTATTGAGTAACGGCGATGGGCTTATGGACAACTCGATGGGATCGAGTAGCTATGGGACTAGATGCAGAAAGGAACTTGGGGAGGGAGAAGGAAACAAGACAGATAAGAAGAATTGAGCGGTAAAAGGGCTATTTGGGGGAGGGGGGCTATGAATAGATCTCCACTAGATCGCTGACGAGGGAGGCTGGCTGGGCTAGGCGGGGGTATTTAGTAGTGGAAGGGTGAGGGAAGTAAGTGGAAGTGGAAGAGGAAGTGGAAGAGGCGGGTTTGTGTGTGTGTGTGGTGAACTTGAACTAGGCAAGACTGACTGCCACTGTCCAGTTCAGTCCAGTTCAGCTCAGTCCGACCCAGTCCATGCGCAGCGCGGCGGCCGAGGGAGACGAACTGGCGGCTCGACGGAGCTTCCCTTCCCGTGACGTCGCGCCGCCCGCAATGATGCAACAAACAACCATCGCGGAAAGCTTGTCGACATCATGATTTGCCTCCACCCCCCCAGAAAATACAATGCGAAACCTGGTTTTATTGGTTTTACTGGTTGGGTTATTTCCCTTTCTTTCTTTGTGCTCCCTCGAACTTGTACGAACTTTCGGTTCTTGCTTCTTCAATTGCTGCTCATCATGTTCAAATTATTATAATATCCTCTCCCCGACTCTTGCATCACATCTTCGTCTCCAGGCAGCTAGCTACGCCACAAATAGAGCCTCGGTAATACTTCCGATCGCTTTTCGGTAAAACTTCAGATTGACAACTAACACAACAAGCAAACAACATGGAGGAATAAAAAGGAAAAACGTCCAGAAAAGATGGTCGGGGGTAGGCGATGTCACTAAAATGTGTAGAAGAGGCAAAAGTGTACCGAAGATAAATAGAAGTAATAGTACCAGGCCACGAAAAAAGGGTGTGGAATAGGAAATAGGCGGGAACAAGGTATAGCGTAGGCAAAAGTACATAACAAGAAGCGAAGAGTGGACATGAAGCAGTGAATTCCGACCCTGAAGTGATCCTGCAGGCCGTCTCCCCGTGCATCGTCTTGCCCATCCAGGGCCAGACCACTGACCATCCAAATAGAGCACTGAGTCGGATATAGCCCTTGTATTCCTGTCTCCTAGTCAAGCCCCCAATTCGGAATTAAATGGGTTGAAGCGAGAGAAGAAAAAAATGAGATATTCTTTTTCTTTGGTCCTCACAATCAATGTAGAGTCATCACTGAAAGCAGATACGAGAAAAGTAAAGGTTCGAGAGAGTGTGGGGGTAGAGAGAACGAATAAACACAAGAGAAAGAAGGCAGGCGGCTAAAAAGAGCGTGCGGCCAATCGACAGTCGTGGAGAAGTGTGCGTCAAACCACCAAAGCGCCCTCCGACGACCATGCGTACCCTGGGTGGCCCATTGGCAGAGCCCCTGGATAGGAGCATCGAAGCACCAGTCGTGCGTGCGTTCGTTTAACGAAGAGAGAATCCCTTCCTCTTTCCCTTCTCTTCGATGGGTCGCCCTGTTTCCAGACGACCCTTCTTTTCTTCTAGTTCCAGGCGTTGACGCTCCAATTGGTCTTTCATCTCGCGGTGTCGTGCGTATAGTTCGTCTTCGCTCTGTTTCAACTTGCTCTCCTTCTCTGCCACCTTCTGCTGGAAGACCATCTTCATTTCCGCTTCCATCTTGGCGAGCTTCTGCTCGTGGAGAGCACGCTCCTCCTCCTGCTTGACAGCCGGGTTGACCTCCTTGAACACGCTCGGGTCCTGGGCGACACCCATCTGGGTGAGCTTGTCGGAACGGTAGTTCTCGTACAAGCTGTTGTTCGTGTGCTCCTTGAGCTCTTCCATGTGGGTACGGATCAACATCTGACGGAGCTTGACAAAGTCGCAGTGCTCCTCGTTGTCGACCTCAATGACACCCCAAGGGTAGCTACGTCCACGGACCTTGCGGCCATCGGCGGCAGTGACCTCGGCGTTGGCACCAACCACGGCGAAGGGGACCTTGGACATGATCTCCTGGTTCTCAGCGATGGTCTCCTCATCGTCGAGCTCATAGCGGGGACCTTCGAAGATCTGGATGGAGTGGTGCTGGATATCGGCAAGGATCTGAATGGCCAGGTTAGCTATCGTTTGACAGGGAGGAGGCGTATAGATTATCATACTCTTTGCTTGAAGGCGGCAATTTCCTCGTCCGTCAGGGTATCGGCCTTGGCGATCACAGGGATCAGGTTGACCTTGGTGTGCAACCGGCGCATGACCTCAATATCCAGAGGCTTCAGCGAGTGACCGGTGGGCTGAATGAAGTAGACACATGCGTGGATACGGTTGTCAATAATGTTAGTACGGTTGACCTTGTTCTCGGCCTCAAGGTAGGCATCATATCTCTGTTCAATGTTCTCGACAATAGGGCGCCACGAGTCGTCGTTGTTCACAAAATCACCGAATCCAGGGGTGTCAACGACCGTCAGGCGCAGGCGCACGCCGTTCTCCTCGATATCGGCGCTGATGGATTGAATTGAAACCGTCTTAGGGATGATGTCGTGGCTAGGTCCGGTGCGTTCCTTAGGGGGGTAGAGGGAGGTGTTGAAGAGGGTGTTCACTAAAGTCGACTTTCCGAGTCCAGATTCACCTGCAATGCGTGTCAAATGACGCCCAACCCTAAGGCCGGAATCGAGACCTACCGACAACCATCACGTTGAAGTTGAAGCCCTTGCGAACACTCTTGCGGTGCCACTGATTCGGCAGGTTGGCGAAGCCAACATAGCCTGTCAGCTTCCGGCGAACGACATTCTTCATATCCGTAGCCGCCTGAGCAGCAGCCTTGGGGTCTTTGGAGCTGACGGTCTGAGCAGCCCCGGAGCCCATAGGGTTGCTGCGTTCAACGAAAGGCGAGCTGGGCTTGCTGCTGGGGGGTGATGCAGAGACCGGGGTGCCATTGGCAGCAGGAGCAGGAGGGGGTGTGGCTACATTATGCGGAACAGAGTTAGCAGTCGTCGCTTCAGATTCTTGACTGTCACTTTCTGAAGACAGGCGCCCCAGCACCGGCGAGAACGAGTGACGTTTAGGCTTCGGTGAATTCTTCTGAGGTGAGGGTGCTAGAGTTTCGGAGTCCCCTTGCGAGCGACCATCCGCACTCCGGTTCCTGACAGGAGGCATTGCTCTTTCACAGGGCGCGAGGATTTCGAGGTAGGCACAGGGCAAGGGTTGGATTGGAAGATCGAATGGAAACGAGAGCACGGAACTGCAGGGTGGTGGGAAAAGGTGTCATAGATGACAGGCTTACCCATTGTGGAAGTTTAAAGGTGTAGGATTTTGAAGCGAGCGTAGAGGGAGGTAGCGAGCGTCGAGGAGGAAGTTTCCCCTGAAGAGGTTGCGCCTTCTTAGTTAGCGATAGAGTCCTTGCAGGATGCAATCAAGGGGAAGGAGCCGGAGGTAATAATGGAAGCCAGCGAGATGGGAATGACAATGCCACTTTCCAAGTCTGGGTGAGGAACAGCAGAAAAAGGAAAGGCGAGTCCAAGGGAAGGCGATGGCAATCCTACCTGGGGTACTGAATCAATGTGGAAAAGGGTTGAGGTTCAGTCAATCACGGGGGGGGAAGGGTGTGGGAGGAGTAAAAGGGATGGGACCGAAACCAAGGGGAGATTTGGGAAGCACGACTTGAAAGCAAGCAAGCAAGCAAGCAAGCAATGCGCCAACAAATTATGGCTGCGATGGAAATATCTAAAACAAAAACTAGGAGGAAGGCGAAGGAAAAAGAAAAGTGTAGATAGAAAGAGGGAAGAGAATAGTGTAGTAGTACTTACTGGAGAGACAGGGGAAGAAGAGGAGGACGGAGGTGGAGGACACAGAGTAGGAGGAGGAGCGAGAGCGATTGGGTCTTGCGGAGTTGATGGATTGGGGGGGGTGGGAGGGATTGCAGTGTTTAGTCTCGGGTCGTTGGAGCCAGACTGTTTGGTGGCCCTGCCCGAGTACAGTACAGTAAGTAAATGAGTGGAAAAGAAAGGGGGGAACTTCATTGCCTCTCTTTGTTTCTACTACATACTACAACACCTACTAACTTATGGGCCTTAGTCTAATCAACTTACTGCCTTTACCTACCTTATGGTCCGACTAAGACCACTCGGCCACTAACTAATACTCTTTCTTCATTGATTTCGACCACTTCGACTGCCCACTTTGCGCTCTAATCAGGTCTGGATGACTTAGGCTTCAACTGCCGATTAACAGTTCAAGTTTATTTTCTGGGTTTATCTTGCCTTATCAGAGCACAATTGGGACTCACAATGAGGACAGGGCAGTGTCTACTACTTCTTAACCCCTTGGCAAATCGTTCACCAACCATCACAGGCAGGGCTTCTTGTTCACTTACAATCTACCAGCCCTCATCATCTTCACGAGACCTGTCAAATCAACACATTGCTCTTCCTTACGATGGAAGCATGGCTAGCATAACCGAACCTCAGGCAATTTGCAGAGAGAAGCCATTTTTACCCCAGGGTATACTATACCACACCTACCAAGGGACGAATCGTGGGGAAACCTGGAACCATTCCAACAAGCCGCGATAAATTGTTCCAAATGTAGACGAGTGGGTTGGAGCTGTACTAAGAAAGAGGAGAACTCCTCCTGAACTGACCCGTGCCATACTATATGCACTGTGCATCACCCGAGATAGGTCAACGCCAGCCATTGATTGAGTGCGAACCTCCTTCTTGCGTCAAGTTTGTTTGTTCCCTCTTGAACCTGTATGGTTGTGGTGTGATGGGTAAGATATATCATGCGGTGCTGATCGTAGAAGATTATCGGCCCATGGCCTACTTTCCGACCACCATCCGCTGGCATTCCATATAGTTTCAGCACCACAGAGACACTTGCAGCTATTTCCTTTGAGGAGAGGCTGGACACAACTTATGCCCCACCCACACCCACACACACACCCACACACACACCCACACACACACACACACCATACACAGTACAGATTCATCTGGACTGGGCACACATATTTCCGGGTTCTCATCTGACGCGTAAACGCGTTACCACCCAGTACAATCATCCAGGGGGGTTGACTGGAAAGAAAAGCAGCTGCCGTGGAACGGAAAAACCCGATCCACCGCCCACCGAGAGGCCAAGCGTGGTTTATTCGCCAATCATCACTGACCGCTAACGGTCCGGGGACAAGCGTCAAGTCACACCATGGACGGGCTGCAACTGGAATATACCCGGTAAAGTTCGTTCCGATTTGAAACAAATAAACTATTCGGGCATCGGTTGAGGGGAGTGACGATCGGTATATAAATAATAGATAGTACCTATACTGGAATCCCCCTCAAATTCCCCAAGATTGAGAATGATGCGCACCACCCACCACCAAAAAAGCATTCATTGACAGTATTCCATCAGATCCCCGATCCCAAACAGAAATACATACACTACTAACCCACCTCGAATCCCCTAGTGGCGGTGATCTATAAATGGAAATATGCATGATGCATCTGCGATAAACCTGCATGGTCCTCTGTAGTCTGGAAAAAGAAAGAAAGTAAATTCAGTTTCTAGGAAAACCAAACTGCACGCCACCGTGGTCCATTACACAGCAAGGGGAAGCTAACTAGGTTAGCTATCGGAAGTAAAGTCTCACCTCCAGGCTTTTCCTCCCGCCCCCCCTCTTCGGCACTCTTGTACGACGGCACACCTCCACCACAAACGGATGAGCATTTATTACCCATATTTGACTTAAATGCCTGCCAAGTTGGGATGGTGAATTCGGACTTATTCCCTTCGATCAACTGCGAAAGAGCAATGGATTGTCCGACTTGGGGGAAGCAATCACTCTAGTTATAGGAGGTTGTTCCATCGTAGGACCAAAATGACCGTCCGTACTGACCCTGAACCCATCTATACTGGGCTTTCTCACCTATCACCCGAAGCTCGGTGCGCGGACCGGACGGTGCAGTGGCTTGATGAGGTTCTCACTGAGAGATTTTCCAGGATGCGGTTGGATGAGGAGATATGGTTCGGCCGCTTATCTCGTGATCGCGACTGAGACACTCGGCTGGGCTTGTGCGAATCGTATCGCTCACACCTTGGGCGTTGTGTGGAAGGCAAGCAGGTTGAAGGTCGGATAGTGCAACCTGGGAGGCTTTCCAGGACGGTACAGTACACTCCCGTTTGAGATACTATCGGTTGGAACTCGACGGGGCTCGAGGAATGTCGCTGAAGCAGCAGTTTGTATCCGCACACAATCGTATTCTCCTAATCGAGAACATGAAAGCCGACCTCCTAGTATAGGGAGTGTCCAAGCGATATATACACGCGCTATATGCATCTGCAACCGATGGGGATCATCAATAGCGTTGTCATTAGCAAAGTTAATTCGTAGCGATATGACATATCGGATTTCTGGAATCATCTTGGCGCGCCCACGAGTGTATTCTCTAGAGGCAGTCGGTGCAGAAGGTCAAACCAAACCATGGTTATGTCCATTCCACGGCATATCTCCGTGCTTACAAGGTTGACATTGGTAAAGCAGGGTTTACATGTTGTTATAGTCGTCTACGTTGCATTACAACGAGTGAAGAGGGAAGTAGGTAGCACAAGGCTGAACGTTATTGATATCTTGTATTCATTATGCGCGGAGAAGTGCCCAGTCGCTGACGGCGCGTGGCCGTCACGATGAGGCGGTCTGATGATTTTCTTTTATTTGCCAACCTTCGACTTCTTCTTCGGCCGTTCGCCTTCTGACATCTCAACATCCTCATCATCATCCCCACCGTCGGATGCATCATCCATCTGCGCATCGCTGTCGCTGCCGCTGCTCTCGTGCGCAGAATCATATTCTTCCGCGACATCGGAGTCCGACTCGGCCTCGAAATCCTCATCGGGGGACTCATCGTCTTCGTCGGCCGAGCCACGGTCAGCGCCACCAGCATCATCGTCGCTGGAGCCCATGTCTTCGTTGTCAAGAGCCGCAGCAATAAGAGCGGAGGTCTGAAGAACCAAGTCAGTCCACATTCAAGCAGGGAAGTTGGAATGCCACAAGGGATACGTACGTCATCGGACATCTCGTTCTTAAGGCGGATGTTCTTGGCCTTGAAAAACTCCTCAAGTGGTTGTTGCTCCTCACTGGAAAGCATTAGCTACCGTTCAGTTAATAGGGGTTTGAATGGAGGCCCTACCGGTTGATGTTGCTGAATTGGTGCTCGCCCAAGCCAGCCTTGAGGCTGACTGTGATATCGAACGTTCTACTGGCTGAGATTGCACCGCCAACACGAGACATGGTGACCACGGCAACATTCTCGAGTTGAATGTACGTGGCAGGCTTAGGAACGAAGATCAAGCTCTTATCCAAGAAGTACAAGAGGCCTTCGTTGGCCTTGATCGAGCACTTGACTCCGCTGTGACCGTGGTGACTGTGTGATGTGTCAGTGGCCGCAATGATACAACTTCAGCCGAATAGCCAACGAACCTGACGAAATCCTTCGATGGCATGATGACCTTCTTGCCCGAGAGCCCGCGGAAGATCTTGGTGACCACCTGGTGGATTGGCTCCTCGTAACGAGGTTCCAACTTGTCCTTGTAGCGTGTCTCCATGAGCTCACTAGAGATAATGTTAGGCAGTCTTCACAGGCATCTGGTGCTGATAAACCCACTCTGTCATATTGAGCTCCAAGCTGATCTCTTCATCAAGCTTCAACTGCATAACCAAGAAAGGGTAGCGAGTCTGACCCTGCCGTAGCGGAGGCTCCAGGCCCAGGACGATCAATGTGTGGGTATCATCGTTCTTCGGAAGCAAGAAGAACTTCTTGATAGATGCGTATTGAATCTTATAGTCGTATGTCTTACCACGCAACCGGAAGGAGGACTCGTACATGTCGATATCGAAACGACCTCTGCAAGCTCTGTTAATCCCAGATTCAAGCGATGCCTTGCAGGCGACACATACCTGGGCGTCAAGTGTAGCACATCCAAGAAAGTGGCAAAAGTGTCACCCGCCACGTCTCCGATCTCAGCCTTCTCCATCAGTGTCTCGTAGAACAGGTTCGCTGCATTCTGCTCCTCGCCCTCTTCTTGCTCGCCATCCGCATTCTCATCGTCCGCGTTCTCCTCCTTGATGCCCTTTTCCGTCTTCACTGCCGTTCCGGGAATGTAGAACCGCATCTCGACCAGCTCGTCCGGACCCGCGGCGGCTTTCCGACCGCGACTCTTTGTGCTGCCGCTGGGCTGCGCAGGCGCATTGCCATCGCCTCCTAGGGCGAACTCCACGGCGACCTCGTTCTTTCCCGCCAAATTCGTGTTCGAGATCTCGGAGTAAGGGATCTCGAAGGCCGGTCGGTTCTGCACGTTGAAGGAGAGCTCTGCTTTCGTGAATTCCGCCTTGCCCCAGTTCCAGCCGCGGAGGGCGTGCTCTCTGTTATCCAAGTTGATGCCGTACCAGATCCTAAACGCTTTGCTCACACGTTCGAAGTCCTAAGCATAGCGGAGACCCGAGGTTAACAAGTGAACATGCAGTGAGGTTACAGGAAGCGGGTTCAAACAGAGCCCAGATCTCAGACCATACCTCTTGATCGAATCCATCCAGCTGGATGACTCCGGAGGAGCGCGACAGGATTTTCAGCTCATATCCCTTCGCCGCACGGCTCCACTGGGCCGCGCCGATGTTGCTGCTGTCGAGCGTGAAGGTTTCCCCTCCTCCGGAGGGCTTCCATCCCAGACCGGATTCTGCGAGCTTGCACTTGCCGTGCTGTTTGGAGAGGTCGAGGTAGATGTTATCAAAGCTCTCCCTAGTGGCGGACGTTAATGAACTGGACGAGAAGAGCGAGCGAGCGGAGAGGGTCTCACATGGTGGAGGAGCCTTAGGTGATTGGCAATAAAGGGTGCGGACGAGTTCAGACGATAAAATTGAGAAAGCTAACGAAGATTTCAGGGTATGTGAGGTTCGTAAGGGTGTAGACTTCTGACTCAGTGACTGACGGTTGAAGGTGTTCCGATAAAGAGCTCCGATATCCTTTTTTCACGTCGCGTTGCGCGCCGCCGTGGTTCGTCCGTCTTACTACACCAGGGGATCTTGGCGCTGGTGGCAAGCATCGATGCCTTAGGCATAAATGTGCTCGGTATCAGTCAGTCTGCGCCGTACATCCACGTAGCACAAGGCACAGCACTAGGACTAGAGCCAGATGCGAGAATTAGCAAATAATGGTTAAGTTAGTGTCAGTGAATAGGAGTATCGGTAGATGGTATCTGTTTCTGGGTTATAGGAGCCAAGGAAATGATCGCGAGGTATGTGTTAGTACATGTGTATTGTCTATACAAGAAGATGTTTGCAAAAGCAATCCTCCATGTGCTTACCATTCGTATACACTTACGATGACTTCGCTATACAGCAGTTGTCGCATTGTGGATTAGTGGTTGGACGGTTAACTCCTCTATCCTGGTTGGCGTGAACATATTTCCAACCGCAAGATCTATACCTTCGAATGTAGTAATTATCCTGTAAGCACATGCTTAGGTGCCTTACAACAAACCAATCCAGATATATTTAGTGAGCCTATAAATCAAACCATGTGTTGCGATCCCGGCCACTTCTAAAGCTCCCCAAGACTGAAGTCTGTCCCACCACAGCCTGCAAATTTGTGTAAGGTAGCAGACGATCTGCCGCTCAGTCTATAATGCAGTAGCTGCGAGACGATGAGTCACTACGACCAGAAACAAGTACAACAAGAGTGAAAGAGACATGCAACTCTTCAAGCATGAGAGGCGACTTCCATATGCTGGTTCAGTCTAAAAGAAAACCTTGGTGCTTAGGACAGTGTCACAACAGTACAAGTCCAGAAATGAGATCTATTTCTTGGCGATAGGCGTTAGTTGTGCGATCAGATTCGAGCAAAGAGTCAAGTGCAATTATCTCTACTGAAATACAGCGCAGCCACTGATTCTAGGCTCTTGAGATGCGCCGCGAATATCATATAAACTGAGACACGGTAGCATGGCTAGATTATGTCCTGCTTAGCGCAAGACTGCATGTAAGTCTCATCGCTTCGCCGTCGGAATTAGTCAACGACGAAAGTTGGGTCGCATTGCTCTCTAAGAAGTACGATGAACGTGCAGGGCTAGCCAGCCAATTTATCCTAGGTCGAAGCCTTGAGCGCAAGGTTCAAACCATATTTGAAGCACGGGGCTGGATCGCGGGATCTCGAAAGCTTTATTGTAACGATTTCAATCTTAAAGGCTGGAGCTGATATCATCAGTGGTTGTCTGGCTAGAATTAGTTGACGCATGTTGCACTCTGTAACAGCCATGAGGAAGATCGAAATAAAGATGATGTGGCTGTAGATGTATCCTGTATGCTGTACGTTGATGTATGCTGCTGCATCCTTTTGTAGCCGTCAATGCTGGTGCATACTTCACCGCCAGTGAGAACTACCAGTAGATAAGAGATGTCTGAAAGCCTTGCAGGCTGGGTATAGTTGCTTTATTCTCTGGACGTATCCGAGAATGTCGACCTGTTGGCCCCTTGGGTTGTAAGCTGTTGGCATTATTAGCGAAGATCCCCTATTAATAGGTCATAACATACAACCAAACATCAATATTTGTCCAGGCCGTAAGTGTCTCCTTGAATTGCGCCTGGCAGATTTGTAGGTTTATTGCCCACTCCTTAATTCTGCGAGCAATTGAAGGTGGTCTTGGGGCGTCGCTGGGAAAGAGCTGTGATGATTGTTCTGTAGATACGGCGAGACATCACTGACTCTGAGTTAGTCTTCCCCCCCCCACCATGGGTGGATACACCAAACCAAACATAGCAATTAATCGCATAAGCAGTGGCTCATCTTTGAAGTGGCTGGCGAGTCAGCACCTCGCAGATCAACCGACTTACCGGCCGCCCCTCTCCAAATTACAGAGTGGAACCCGGACCGGGCGAGAAGATCAATAATAGTACTAGCTTAATGGTACCTGAAAACCATCGCAGAACAAACAACCAAAAAGCCCCTACCGGGCCTGCCCACACACTCAACTCACTAAACTCACTGCCTGCCCTGCCTGCCTGCCCTGCCTGCCTGCCAGCCAGCCTGCCAGCTTGCCATGTCACTCTTTCGGTCCATCCAACTTTTATCACTCATTCGTTAATCCCTTTAGACCTGACCACTCATAGTCCGATTTGGCCTCTTGGCTATAGAACACATTCGTTTTTCAACTCCCCTTTAAACTAAGCATCATTCTTTACATGCTGCTCTGCTGAGAGTCTTTCACTCCTTTTTCTGGCTCCCGCGTGTGTTTGTGCCGCACCCGAACAAGTCGGCCCTCTTCTCACCCAAGCTGTTTCCACCCATTCATTTCTTTTGACTCGTCCTGGAGCACGTTGATCTCTCCAGACGACTCCCCTCTTCTCCCTACCATTCTCTCCTTCCAAGAGAGTCACCTTCACAACTTGCCTGTCGTCGCGAACCCGAACAATGAGGGCATCCTCACTGTTTGGGCCTGCGACGGCTGGCTTCGCAGCAGGCCTCCGCCTTTCGCCATTACTCCTTTCTAGTCTCGCGTCGGCCTTGACTTTTGAGTCCGTTTCTGAACCGGAGTTGGATCTTTCGCCATTGGGTCATATTGCGCTTACCGGAGACTTCGATGCACTGACATATTACCAATATACCGCGCAGACTAACACATCGACCGGAGACAATGACGCGCAAGCACTCTTGACCCCTCTTCCGAACGGAATCCTTACGACCCTATCGACCTCAAATGCCGGCATTCGCGCAATGTGCCCATTTACGCAGGAGGATGGAACGTTCTCAGGCATCTTTGTGGGAGGCAACTTCACCAGCCTCGGCGGGGTCAAATCGGAGGGTGTCGCGCTATATCATCCGTCTACGAATCAAGTCACATCGTTGTCAGGTCTTTCGGGAACAGTCTCTGCCCTGCTGTGCGATCAAGAAACCAATAGCGTTTACGTCGGAGGAAACTTCACCTATTACAACACCTCAAACGCTGTGGCCTGGGTTGGCACCTCTGGCTGGTCCAATTTGACTTTTGGTGGTTTCAATGGCCCGGTTTCGTCGATCTTGAAGGATAGCGATGGTAATATTGTCTTTGGTGGCTTCTTTGATGGCATCGGCAACTCTACGTCGAGCAAGAAGGGTGAACAGGTCATCAATCTTCAAAATGCCACAATCACTTCCGATGCAAATTCTACAACCAGTGGCTTTGTCGATCCCCGCAATATCGTTTGTCAGTCGAGTGGTGAGGATGGCGCAGGAAAAACATGGTTACTGGATGACTACTCACCTGGCTACTGGCGCGCCGATATGCAATTTGAATATACGCCTACCAAGCTCAGACTTTACAACACACACTACGAGGGACGGGGCACAAAAACGTTCCTATTCAGACGCCTGCCCGACAACGGAATCATGAACTTGACGTACACGGATCCGGATACGGGCAACGCTGCCTACTGCGACCAGAGTTGCTCGCTTTCCAGCAATGCGACTGAGAAATATCGTGAATTCACGTTTGTTAACCACGCCGCAATGAGTGGTTTCGAGATTGAGATCCTGGATTGGTATGGCAAAGGCGCCGGCTTGAATGGCATCGAACTTCTCGAAGATAGTGAGTGCAGATCTACCAAGGGAGCTATGGATTATTTACTGACAGAGAAAGACATATTTGCTTACGCGATTAACGCTTTCAACGAGCCAACGTGCGCGAACTCCAGCTACCCATCAAAGTCAACACGTACCGGGTCTTGGTCTGCGACAGCTTCGGGTCAAAGCTCTTCGGCGTACTTGACGGCCGAAGTTACGAATTCGAACGCAACTGAAGCTTCGGTTGTCTTTGAGCCCGACGTCAAGCATTCAGGCAATTACTCGATCAAATTATATACGCCTGGGTGCGACCAGGACGATACTTGCAGTTCTCGCGGTATTGTCAATGTGACGGTCACTGCCTCAAGCGATTCTTCGGAACCTGTTCAAACTCTCATCTATCAGACGAATGAATACGAAAAATACGATACGATTTACACTGGTCATGTGGATGCAAGCGATAGCTCGTTTCGTCCGCGTGTGAAGCTCACCCCAGTAGCAAACCAAGGCGACATCACTGTGGTAGCATCTCGAGTTCAGTTTGTCGCAATCTCCGTGTCGGGCATTTCGGATAACCAGCTGAACGGCTTGTACGAGTACGACCCGACCACAAAGAAGGGCACAAACGTTTCCGTGTCGGCCATCGATCAAGCAGGTCTTGCTCTGGACTCAGAAGCATCAATCACCAGTCTAGCTAGCCATGGCAGTACCATCTACGTCGGAGGCAACTTCTCGAGTTCCAGCATCAACAATATCATGTACATCGAACAAGACGGAAACGCCACGGCAATGCCCAAAAGTGGTTTGAATTCCGGAGTCAACGCCTTGACGACACTGGACGATGTCCTCTACGTCGGTGGTAATTTCACCGATACATCCGACGGTGGAAATGAAGGCCTGAGCTATGTGGCAGCGTACTCGTTTGGCACTAAAGCATGGTCTGCTCTCGGAGGGGGCGTCAACGGTCGAGTGACCAGCGTCGTTGCTCTTTCGCTGAACATTTCTGCGGACCTCAACGAAACTGTTGTAGGTGTCAGCGGCGAGTTCGACCAGTTACTTAGCTTCGAACAGACGTCGTCCACAAATGTGTCTGGCTTTGCTGTCTGGGTGCCGTCGCGCAAGAATTGGTTACCAAACTTGAATGTCAGTCAGTTGGAGTTTGCTGGACAGCTGTCCGCTTACGCCAAGGTTGACAACACCACGATTCTTGCGGGTAGCCTCTCTACTGGTGGCCTTGCTGCTGCTGGTGCTGCTGCCCTTCTCTATGACGATGATCTTGGTCTTGAAGCACTGCTGACTGATCGCAACACAACCGGCGAAACATTCACTGGGATCTTTGACACAAGCTCTAGTCGGAATCGCACTATCCTTGGAGGTCACTTCTCCTCAAACGCTACTAATGGATCGGTGATCGAGAACTTCGCCATTATCGACGGC